CACCTGCTCACCTGACTCCTCACCTCCACATCTCACCACTCACCTGCACACCTGACTCCTCACCTCCACAGCTCACCACTCACCTGCTCACCTGACTCCTCACCTCCACAGCTCCCACTCACCTGCACACCTGACTCCTCACCTCCACATCTCACCACTCACCTGCTCACCTGACTCCTCACCTCCACATCTCACCACTCACCTGCTCACCTAACTCCTCACCTCCACATCTCACCACTCACCTGCTCACCTAACGCCTCACCTCCACATCTCACCACTCACCTGCTCACCTGACTCCTCACCTCCACATCTCACCACTCACCTGCACACCTGACTCCTCACCTCCACAGCTCACCACTCACCTGCACACCTGACTCCTCACCTCCACATCTCACCACTCACCTGCTCACCTGACTCCTCACCTCCACATCTCACCACTCACCTGCTCACCTGACTCCTCACCTCCACATCTCACCACTCACCTGCACACCTGACTCCTCACCTCCACATCTCACCACTCACCTGCTCACCTGACTCCTCACCTCCACATCTCACCACTCACCTGCTCACCTGACTCCTCACCTTCACATCTCACCACTCACCTGCTCCAACACCGGTGACGCTTACCTGAACCGGTCCTGGGCCTCTCCCAGGTAGATTCATCCTAAAATTAGTTCCTGGTGCGGTGTGTAGTAAACATCGCCACTGGGGAGACAAAGGCGGTCGGGCGTGGTGTTGGCCAACCCACCCCCTCGTTTGCCGTGCCGGCCTTCATAGGCACTACTTGCTAAAAGCACTTGCCCCAACAGTCTGTTGAGGCTGCACGGGGGATCTTTGTGTGCTCGGTCCCTCAAATTCCGATGGAGAGTCAAGCCATTCCGTATTTTGAGTGGAGCTGGGACGAGTAGTGGAGTAACTCTATTCATCGATTACGTCGATCAATCGATGATACATTTGAATCAACTACTTTTCTTGTCAGTTTAACACGTAGGCTTTCGCGACCAATGTTATTCATAATCAACGTTTTTGGGTTTAGATCGCGTTATTTATAAATGTGTCGTAACCCTCCACCACCCGACACGGCCAATCAGTAAAAAAGTGTCACGTTGACAATTCTGGCGAATTGCCCGATGATGCTGGATGCAATTACCAGCGAAACGTCGTACTCAAATTGTAAATGTTGTGACTTCAACACACCGGGCTAAAGCAGTGAACTATTTGTCTTTTGTCAACGTGACACTTTTTTACTGATTGGCCGTGTCGGGTGGTGGAGGGTTACGACACATTTATAAATAACGCGATCTAAACCCAAAAACGTTGATTATGAATACTTTTCTTGTTGTCAATTACTCGGTGCCATTTAAATATGGCGGCCACCCCCGCCACATCCTGTTGCCTCCCGAAAGCTGGAAACCTCCATACAAGCCACGCCCATGCCACCACCAAGCCACCTCCCGTCCAGCGGCTCACATGGCAATGGAGGCAATATTTTATTTATTTATATTTATTACTTATATATTTTTCAACGTTGCCCGATCTGGTGGGGAACCTTTTTTCTGCCAAGGGCCATTTGGATATTTATAACATCATTCGCGGGCCATACAAACGCGACTTTACCGAAAAAAACAAAGAGTAGGGGGACATACCAAAATATCTGCTCGAACTCAGATCCCTGTTAGAATTAAAATAGTCCGTAATTCTCACGACGCTCTGAATGTTTTTGTTATTATGTTTATTTGCCGGTTATATTTGGTCAAACATTTAATTAACTCACCCCTAATGTGATGGCTGGAACTGCTTCTCTTTGGTGAGGCGTGTGATGTTAGCCGGTATTGATGATGTTGCTACTCGGAACTGCTTTTCCAGGTTTGCTCCTAGATTTATTGAATTTCGAGTCCCGCCTGCAGTTGCCTTGGCAGGGCCAGAGACCAAATGATTTCGCGGGCCTCATACGGCCCGTGGGCCGGACGTTCCCCACCCCGGCGTTAGAGCAACCGTGCCGATATCACTGGTCAACAAAAAAAAACATGTTTTTCTGGCCTGGAGTTTTGCAGCTGTTCTAGACTAATTTCAGGGTGCTGATTCCAAATCTGATCTCAGATTTGCTCTATCACATGCTATCGGCATACCCCATTTTCATTGATTTTACCAGAAATTAAATCCGTCACTTATGATTGCAAGTTGTTGCGAGTCGGTGACTGCTTTAGTGTTAAAATATGGTGCTGTATTTTTAGGATAGTGTGTTTATAATATCATTTTATGTAGATATCCACAATTATTTAATATTTTTCTTCCGCAGTTTTTATTGAAAATGATAAATTTGATATCTCAAAAACCTGATGTGATAGACAAAAAAACTGATGCCAGATTTGGAATCGGCACCCCAAATTTACCTTAAACCCGTTGGAATACAGTAATAGGTTTTTACCCTTTCAACTGGTACAAAAACTGACACCTTTATACAAGGGATCATGTTTGCAATAACCACAACACAAGCAGTCAATATGCAAACAAAGAAAAACAACTCTGATAATGATATGCACTGTCCTTGAAGTTGATTGGTCCACACCCGAGACAGCTTTTCTTAGAGCCTAGTCTCCATTGGTGTTGGACCAGATGACGCCAAAAGGCGTACTGCATATCATTATCAGAGTTGTTTATTTTTGTTTGCATATTGACTGCTTGTGTTGTGGTTGTTGCAAACATGATCCCTTGTATAAAGGTGTCAGTTTTTGTACCAGTTGAAAGGGTAAAAACCTATCACTATATTTTGCCACTGGTAAAGGAGATGTCTCATACCGTTGGAATACCTTATGCCAGATAAAGTGTGTTGACCAGTGTTATAATCCGGAGAGTCGTCCACGAGCCCGCGTCGTTGACATCATTCATCCGTCGCGCACGGCCAGCGAAGGGCGGATGCGTCAAATGTTTCACATCCCAGCGCAACCAACAGCAACAAAACGAGGAGCCTCCTTTGCAAGCGGCCCCTGGTGGCTCGCTAGACGGCGCAGACGCCAGAGCCTTCGCCGTTGAGGACCTGGGTTCGAATCCGAGTCTCAGCCACCCCCAGATAAAAATTCACGCAACCACGGGGAGAGACACGCAAACTCCAAATATACAGCAGGCGTCAGGGTCAGGATTCAAACCCACGACCTCTTGTATACTTGGCGAGGTAGTTAACATCTCCTAGCCACCGTAATGATGATGATGATGAGATAGAAATGCAAACTCCACATATACAGCAGGCGTCAGGGTCGGGATCAAACCCACGACCTCCTGTATACCAGGCGAGGTAGTTAACATCTCACCACCGTGGCGAGATGCGCTGCTTCTGCGCCGTCTGGAATGATCCTTTTTCCGATATTAGGAAGCTGCTGGAGCTATGCGCTTTTAAATCATCGTCTAGATTGCAAACTAATTTATTTTACAACTTAATTTGTGTTTCGTTTCTTAACTTCTCCCCGTACGTCTGATTAGCACGGTTGGCTACGTACAGTGCGAAAGAAATTCAACACACATAACATACCTACAAGGCGATTCTTTTATCCATAGGTGACCCCCTCTTCTGGTCTCGTTCTTCGTCTTCCCGTGACACGTCCCAGTTTTTAGTTTCAAATCTCAAGAGGAGGCAGAACCCCGTGACCGAAGCACGCAGCTGAGGATGGCAGCCCCCCTCGTGTCTTTCAGAATCCGCACACGTGGCATTTGTGGGCCCCCCTAATTAATTCCACCCCAACCCCCCCCCCTCCCATCAAAGAGAGCGCCTCTTTAATTAGGGCTGCCCTTCTACCAGTGGGCCGACCGGGCTGCGGGGGGGCGGGGGGGTAGAGGGGGGGGTAGAGGGGGGGGTAGAGGGGGGGGGTAGAGGGGGGGGGGTGCCCCCTACGATTGCGCTACCCCCCACCCGCCCCCCGCGAGGACGTCGTTAATAATTCAGCCCGTGGAGGCGGATTTAGTCTCAGAACTTACGAGCGTGGCCTTACGATTGCCAAAACAAAAAACTAAACACGAAACAGCGAAGGTCAAAGACGATTTCCTGCTCGAGTGAGCGTTGATGCGTTGGAGGTTCTCTCACCAGCAGCCCGAGAAGGTGGTGGGAAGTCCGATTTGCTAGGATTTCTATTCTTAAGCAATTTTAATTTGACCAAGTAAGGCAGCTCTTCTCTTTTTTTGTAGAAGCGACCTGGTCATCACAAACAATAGCCCCACGAAGCGGTGGCTTCACATCATCGTCACGTGGACATTGAGAGCAGCAGCCACAGACACCCTGAACGCGCGAGGGACCCGGAGCAAAATCCACGCGACCACAGGGCAGAGTACGATCCAAGTATACAGCAGCAGGCGTCAGGGTCGGGATCGAACACACGACCTCCTGTACACCAGGCGAGGTAGTTAACATCTCCGAGCCACCGTGATGATGATAAGAGAGAAACACGCAAAATCCAAGTATACAGCAGCAGGCATCGTCAGGGTCAGGATCGAACACACGACCTCCTGTACACCAGGCGAGGGAGTTAACATCTCCTAGCCACCGCGGGCGCCCAGTGCCTCCTGGGTACCGCTGATCTATGTGGCTTCTCCTTCAGCCGAACAGCCAGCGAGTGACGCTAACAGGGGGCGACCCGTCTGTGTGTGGTGCCGTCTCCTCCTCCACCCACTACCCCCCCACCCACTACCTCCCCACCCTCCCCCACCCCGCCCTTCCCCACCCTCCCCCATCCTGAACTCCCCACTACCCCCCCCACCCTGCCCCACCCTGCCCCACCGTGCCCTCCCCACCCTCCCCCACCCTGCCCCCCCCACCCTCCCCCACCCTGCCCCCCCCACCCTCCCCCACCCTCCCCCACCCTCCCCACCCTCCCCCACCCTCCCCACCCTCCCCCCACCCTCCCCCACCCTCCCCCACCCCCCCCCACCCTCCCCCACCTTGCCCACCCCACCCTCCCCACCCTCCCCCACCCTGCCCACCCCACCCTCCCCACCCTCCCCCACCCCGCGAGGAGGAGCAGATGGAGGAGGTGGTGAGGAAGATGCAGGACGAGACGAGCGGAGTTCCCATCCGCACGGTCAAGAGCTTCCTCTCCAAGATCCCCAGCGTCGTCACCGGTAGACGCTGACGCCCTCCTCCCCCTCCTCCCCCCTCCCCTCGTCGCTTCGTCATCGTCATCATCGTCATCGTCGTCGTTGTCATCGCCATCGTCGTCGTCATCGCCATCGTCATCGCCGTCGTCATCACCATCGTCGTCATCGTCGTCATCGCCATCATCATCGTTGTCGTCATCATCATCGTCGTCATCGCCATCGTCATCGCCGTCGTCATCACCATCGTCGTCATCGTCGTCATCGCCATCATCATCGTCGCCGTCATCACCATCGCCATCGTCATCGCCGTCATCATCACCATCATCGTCATCGCCATCATCATCGTCATCACCATCGTCATCGTCATCACCATCGCCATCGTCATCGCCGTCATCATCACCATCATCGTCATCGCCATCATCATCGTCATCTCCATCGTCATCGTCGCCATCGTCTATAATGTTTTACCCACGTGATGATGAGCCCCACTTCGTTGAGCTATTATCGTTTGTGGGGAGGCCGATTCTGAAAAAGGAAGTTAGTAGCTCAGTGGGCTCTACCTGGTAAAATAAACATAGTTTATTTTTTTTCAAGTGATTTGTTTACCTTTCGTATACTTTGCACTCATATCGTGTTTTTGTACCGATAGCTCACCGGATTCCTCCAGTATAAATACACATTATGATTCTAAACAATGCCGCGGTCATCGTTATCGTTATTGTATCATCACCATCATCATCACTGTCGTAATTATCGGTCAAATCATCATCTCTATTGACGTGACATCATCACTGTTGACGTGACGTCATCGCTATTGACGTGACGTCATCGCTATTGACGTGACGTCATCACCATTGACGTGACGTCATCTTTATTGACGTGACGTCATCTATATTGACGTGACATCATCGCTATTGACGTGACGTCATCACTATTGACGTGACGTCATCATCACTATTGATGTGACATCATCTCTATTGACGTGACATCACTATTGACGTGACGTCATCACTATTGACGTGAGATCATCTCTATTGACGTGACGTCATCACTATTGAATGATTATTAATGGAGCCACTGTCACTCGGCAGGGTTGAGCCGCTCTCGACACAAATGTCAATAAGTGATCAATACCTCGTTTACCTCCCTGCCCCCCCCCACCTCACCCGCTCCTCACCAGGTGCGGACATCGTCCAGTGGCTCATGAGAAACCTCATCATTGACGACCCAGGTGAGGCCTCCTCACCTCTACACCTCACCACTCACCTCACTCCTCACCTCACTCCTCACCTATTCATCTCACCACTCACCTGACTCCTCACCTCACCACTCACCTCAACACCTCACCAATCACCTCACTCCTCACCTCACCACTCACGACTCACCTCACTCCTCACCACTTACCTCACTCCTCACCTCACTCCTCACCTCACTCCTCACCTCACTCCTCACCTATTCATCTCACCACTCACCTGACTCCTCACCTCACCACTCACCTCAACACCTCACCAATCACCTCACTCCTCACCTCACCACTCACGACTCACCTCACTCCTCACCACTTACCTCACTCCTCACCTCACTCCTCACCTCACTCCTCACCTATTCATCTCACCACTCACCTGACTCCTCACCACTCACCACTCACCTCACTCCTCACCACTCACCTCACTCCTCACCTCACTCCTCACCTATTCATCTCACCACTCACCTCACTCCTCACCTCACCACTCACCACTCACCTCACTCCTCACCACTCACCTCACTCCTCACCTCACTCCTCACCTATTCATCTCACCACTCACCTGACTGCTCACCTCACCACTCACCACTCACCTCACTCCTCACCTATTCATCTCACCACTCACCTGACTCCTCACCTCACCACTCACCTGCTCACCTGTCTCACCACCAGTGTCTCACCACCAGTGTCACACCAGAGAATTGACGCCAACAGGCAAACAGTACAAAGACAATGCTAGTATCAGACCACTTAGGGGCCGTACATAAATGACGTCACGCACCTGGGGGGGGAAGGTCAGACATTTGTGACGATGTGTGACGAGGGGGGGGGGGGGGTTTGAGGATTGTGACGTCACATCAAAATGCGCAACTTTAAATGAATATAGACAACACGTTCTACTTAAATAAATATACTTTATAATAAATGTTTTCTCTACAACATCGGAGTGCAGCGCCACATTAAATACGCACTACAATGACAATAGTTTAAAGCGATTTGAGCATATTTAATCTGGGGGGGGGGGGCAGATCTTTGTGACGTCATATTTGAGGGGGGGTCTGACTTTTTGTGACGCCGTGTGACGAGGGAAGGGGGCGGTCAAAATCATCCAAAATCGCGTGACGTCATTTATGGACGCCCCCTTAAAGCAAATTATAATAATTATAGGTTTCTGACATTTCTGGTAATAAAACAAGTTCACCATACATACAACAGCACTTGCCCCAGCAGCTTGCTGAGGCTATACCGTGGCGGCGGGTGGCGTGCAGGGGGTTGATGGACACCTTTGTCTTTGTGCGCAGCGGAGGCGCTGCATCTGGGCACGCTCGTGTCTGCTCACGGATATTTCTTCCCGATCTCGGACCACGTGCTCACCCTGAAAGACGACAACACCTTCTACCGGTTCCAGGTGAGCGCCGGGGGGGGGGGGGGTCTATGCAGGTGTGATGACTCGGCAGGTGTGAGCGTGCAGAATCAGAATATTTATCTTATTATTTTAAATATATAAATTGACTGGAGGAATCCGAAGAGCTGTAAAGAACTTTTTCTTCACCGGCGCGCAGGAGATTCACAGATGTCCGATTTCGATTTAAAGCTTTCGTGACTGCAGGGATTCATCTTCTTGGTTTTTTCGGTAAAGTCACGTAGAAGGGAAATAATAAAATACATTTTTTTTTACATAGTATGTTTTTAATTTTTTTAATTTTTTAATTTACCTTCTACATGACTTTACCGAAAGAACCAAGAAGATTAATCCCTGCAGTCACGAAAGCTTTAAATCGAATTCGGACATCTGTGAATCTCCTGCGCGCCGGTGAAAAAAAAGTGCTTCACAGCTCTTCGGATTCCTCCAGTCAATTTATAATAAAAATGTAACATATTATGTTTTATTTTTATTATTTTATTATTTCCCTTCTACGTGACTTTACCGAAAGAACCAAGAAGAGATGTCCGATTGTATACAGACGCGTGACTATGCAGGTGTGACTTGGCAGGTGTGGAGGGGGTGTCCCGGCTCGCTGCCCAGGCGTGGGGAGGGCAGCAGTGGTATTAATGGGCAGGGGAAGATGATGGAAGGGGTGGGGTGGGGTGGAGGTTATCGGCCTTTCAGCCGCCTCGCCTCAACAACACAGGGAGACGTTTCGCTCTCTCCGGGCGGGTTGCGTGGCGTAGTGCTTCCCCCTAGTGGTGTGGCGTCGACAACAGCGGGTGACGTCCTCTGGTTCTTTCGGTAAAGTCACGTGGGTATAAAATAATTAGCTCACGACGTTTCGGGCGCAACACAAGCGACCGTCATCAGGTGGGACAACCACAGCAAGAAACAATTGCTGAAGTGGGCAAAAGGGTTGCTGTGACAAGAGGCTATATAGGTAAGAGAGGGGGAGAGGAGCCAGGGAGTTGTTCTGTAATATCCCCTTCCACGGCCCATTCTTCATCAAGGGGGGCTATGCAGCACTCTGCAAGGTTTACCAAACTGTGCTCCGCTCGTGACGTGCGGTGCCGATGGCGCGGTTACCCCGGCTGGCGGTGGCGGTGGTGGTGGCGGTGGTGGTGGCGGCCGCCTCTAACCCGGCGCTGTGGAGGTAGCGGCGGCGGTGAGGGTTGGTGGGTCACCGCACAGATGGTGCGAAACTCCCTTCTACCCGTCAGCGTCTCTCCATCTGTTCCTTCTGTACGGGGATCGAGCGTTGCCCCCCCCACACCCCTCGCACACGTGGATTTTCTCAGGGTGCTCCGGCTTCCTCCCAAGCGTGTAATAAATACGACTCGTCGTGAATTGGCCGAATACATCTTAAGCCTTAACCCATTCCGATGACGTGTGATTCTCTCACTTAGTCTAAGGGTCTCTATGCGAAGCCATGGGTCGCTACATATGTCTATGGGTCTTTCTGACTCTATGGGTCTCTGTGTGCTTCTATGTTGTATGGGTCTCCGTATAAGTCTATGTGTCTCGGCATAAGTCTTTGTGTCTCTGTGTGAACAGAACGACGTACGTGTATGCTGTCAGTTTTTCTTTCGGTTCCATTGCGATGACGTTTCACGGATGTCATGGTACGTCATCGGAATGGAATCAGAAGAAAAAATGAAATACCGTAACTCTGTCGCACAAGGCCAGGCAGGAGGGCGCGTGGCACAGTTTCGGGTGCTGGCTACCGCAGAGTGGCGGCGGTCGTGTAGCTACGGTTCTCTGCGGCGAGTAACAACGACTTAAAATAAGTAATATTTAAAAAACTTTTTTTTAAAACACGCTTTAATGAAATGTACCGTACGAGTAATGGCAGAACTCCAGGAAGTGGCCCCAAGGCTTGCCATAACGTAAGGGGCCGTGGTGATTTACAGCCAACGTTAGTTGAGCGTGGACAATTAGACCCAAGCCGAAACATAAGATATGAAAAAGATTGTTTAAAAGTATTTTTATTTTATTTTTAATAATAAAATATAGTATTGTCACCAGTGTGACATACGTATACCAAGTTTGCAGTCGATACGACATTGGGAAGTGGGTTAAAATTGAGTTACAATATTTGAGGATACGACAACAGACAGAGTTTATCAAAAGCGTGTAACAGAATGTTTTAAAATATATGTTTTTTTAAATGATAGAATATAGACTTGTCATCAGTATGACATAAGTATACCAAGTTTGCAGTTGATAGCACATTGGGAAGTGAGTCAAAATTTGAGTTACAATATTTTTTGAGGATACAACAACAGACAGAGTGAGTTAAATAAAAGCGTGTAAAAACAACGGCGCTGCTACTACTACGATGCCTCTCTCTAAATAAAATGAACGCTGAACCCGCTTGCACGATTCAGCGGTGAACGGGACCCACCCCACCCCACCCTGCCAGCTTGCAGACGTCTCGGAACTTGGAAAGGCTTAACCTCGGCACGCCCATCACGTACCTGTCAACCCCTTACCAGTGCCATCTCTACCTTACTACAGACCAATTCAGACCATATTGGTCACCCCGTGCTCTTTATAAATCTCAACATTCGTTTACAAAGTCCCAGCACAAGGGAGAAACGCAAACAAATAGACAATCACCACGACTACACTCACCACTAGTGCACTCACCACTACACTCACCACTACTACACTCACCACTAGTACACTCACCACTACCACACTCACCACTAGTACACTCAGTCACTCACCACTACACTCACTACTAGTACACTCACTAGTACACTCACTACTAGTACACTCACCACTAATACACTGACCACTATTAAACTCACTACTATTACACTCACCACTAGTGCACTCACCACTACATACCTGTGAAGACCTTATCAGTGCCCTACATTGTTACAGACCAACTCAGACCCTATTGGTCACCCCGTTTCCCTTATACATCTCAAAGTTCATCCTTGAAAGTCCCATCACAAGGGAGAAACACAAACAAATAGACAATCACCACGACTACACTCACCACTAGTGCACTCACCACTACATACGTGTGAAGACCTTATCAGTGCCCTACATTGTTACAGACCAATTCAGACCCTATTAGTCACCCCGTACTCCTTATTTATCTCAACCTTCATTTACAAAGTCCCGTCACAAGGGATAAAACGCAAACAAATGGACATTTTGTCGTTGCCCGCATTGAAACGGCCGTACGCCGTACGAACCTCAAAACTCTATCTCCCTGTACACGAACACGTGGTGAAGCGTGCGGGTTCCACGCGGTGTGCCGTCGCGTCATGCGGTTGCGTGAGCGACGTTGTTTCTCTCCGCTGCCCCCCCTCCCGCCGCCGCTTTAGACGCCCTACTTCTGGCCCTCCAACTGCTGGGAGCCGGAAAACATCGACTACGGTGAGAGCGGATATCCGCGACGGGAAGAACTTCGTAGATTGTCGGATTTCTCCCGGGGATAAACGAAGATTCTGATTCTGTTCCCGCACGTGCTGCCGATCCACTCTCGCGCCGATCCATGTCCGTTGGGTGTGGCCCAATTCTGGCTTGGGGTCACGGTGGGGGGCGGACCGGGATCCGACTCCGGTAGCCCGGCTGAACGAATCGACGATTCGACGAGTTCTATTCGTTTCCAGTACGGCGGTGATCCCCTGGGATTACCGCGGCAGTAGACTTGTTTTCGATTTAAAGCTTTCGTGACTGCAGGGATTCATCTTCTTGGTTCTTTCGGTAAAGTCACGTAGAAGGGAAGTAATAAAATAATAAAAATAAAACATAATAAAACAATTCTCACGACGTTTCGGCCACAACGCAAGCAGCCGTCCTCAGGCGAAGAATGAAGCACCACCAAGCTTGGAGCGTATATTTAAGCTGGGTTAGAGGGGGGGAGGTGGGAAGAAGAGCGCCTAAACAAAATAATTTGCATATCAAGAGGATATGCTGAATTCCTCTTGATATGCAAATTATTTTGTTTAGGTGCTCTTCTTCCCACCTCCCCCCCTCTAACCCAGCTTAAATATACGCTCCAAGCTTAGTGGTGCTTCATTCTTCGCCTGAGGACGGCTGCTTGCGTTGTGGCCGAAACGTCGTGAGAATTGTTTTATTATGTTTTATTTTTATTATTTTATTACTTCCCTTCTACGTGACTTTACCGAAAGAACCAAGAAGATAGACTTGTTTTGTTTGTTTAGACCGGAGGTCTCCGACACCGGCAGTAGGTCTACACCAATCAAAGCATTGCACCTCGCTCCACACACCCACACTGCTGACGGTGGAGGTTGACAAGAAAACACAAATCAAGTGGTGACCCAAAGTGGTTGATGACATCTTTCCAATGATTGTTCAGTCTATAACCTTCCTCTCGGTTGAAATTGTCTCTGTGTCTGTGTACTATATGGATGGCTTCATGAACTAAGCTTTGTTGATAATATAGGTTTTTGGGTCAGATCGCGTTATTTATAAATGTGTCGTAACCCTCCACCACCCGACACGGCCAAACAGTAAAAAATGTGTCACGTTTTCAAAGGACAAATTAATTGACTTCTTTAGCCCACCGGTGTGCTGAAGAGAGAATCAACAGCATTTTAAAATTTTAAAGAAGTCAATTAATTTGTCCTTTGAAAACGTGACACATTTTTTACTGATTGGCCGTGTCGGGTGGTGGAGGGTTACGACACATTTATAAATAACGCGATCTAAACCCAAAAACGTTGATTATGAATAATATTGGTCGCGAAAGCCTACGTGTTAAATTAATCTTTGTTGATAGCCAGTAGGCTTGCAAGGTACCATCGTCTTAGAGAAATCAATTTCGTGTGAGCCATTCGCATTAAAATAATGATCAGCCACGGCAGAAATATTGGTCCTGCCGTGTTTCAAATCTGCTTCATGTTCACGAATACGGTCCGAGACATGTCGCTTAGTTGCCCCAATGTAACTGCTGCCGCAGATACAGCTTAGTTTGTAGACGCCGGGATATTGCATGTCAGGAATCTTGTCTTTCACAGATGGGATCAGATCACGAATTTCATGCACTGTGTTAAATCGGACCTGGATCTTGTGTTTGTTCATGATTTTGGAAATCTTTTTGGTGACCCCTGCTATGTATGCCAGGGTGATGGTAAGCCCCCACTGAGCTTATATAATGACTTAAAGCTTTCGTGACTGCAGGAACTCATTCGTGGCTCTTTCGGTGAAGTCATGCAGATAGGTTTGTTATTTTCTTTGAACCTATCTACGTGACTTTACCGTAAGACCCAAGAATTTGAGCTTATACAGCTCTTTTACTGGTAGGAACCTCCTGGTTAGACCAGCCCACAGGGGATTATTGTGTCCGTCGTGCAGGGAGGGGCTGGGTGGGGAGGGAGGGGCTGGGTGGAGAGGGTAAGGAGGGGCTGGGTGGGGAGGGTGGGGCTGGGTGGGGAGGGGAGGGTGGGGAGGGGCTGGGGAGGGGATGATGGGGAGGGGCTGGGTGGGGGGTGTGAGGGGTGGGGCTGGGTGGGGAGGGGCTGGCCACCCCGTGGTGCCCTTATAAAACTCAACGTTTAACCTATTCACACCGGCTTGTACCCGCCCTCACAGTCGGGCATATTTGCGGAATACACCACGCCGCCGTTGACCCTGGCCATTGACCGAGCAACTCGACGTTCCTACCAGCTCCCTCCGCAGGAATGTGTTTCAGAAGTGACCTGGCTATCACAAACGATAGCTCAGCGAAAGTGGCTCATCATCGCGTGGAAATGTAAAGCAGCCGAAGTTGTTTAAAGCCACGCTCCTATCGAGGCTGCCAAGCAACCCGGTTTGGCCGGGGGCAGGTGACGTTGAACGACGAGCGCAGGCGAATTATAAATCGGCGTGGAACCCAACGAGCGTTCTTCGGGGACGTGATCCGGGGACAAGCTCCGACACGTCGGACTCCCGTGTCCCGAACAGCCACCCGTCGGAGAAGGAGGTTAAACGTTGTCCTTTCGTCACCTGCAGCCGTGTACCTGTGCAAGAGGGCGATGCAGAACAAGGCTCGCCTGGAGCTGGCCGACTACGAAGCCGTAAGTGCTGGGCTCACGGTCGCCTGCCGCTGCTGCTGGTCAGGCCGTTGCATGGGGCTGCCTTGTAAACCAAGCGCTGTGGAGGCAGCGAGGGTTGGCGGATCACTCACTCACTCGCTCATTGACTCATGCGCTCACTCACTCCCTCGCTTGCTCACTAACTTGCTCGTTCACTCACTCACCGACTCATGCGCTCACTCACTCACTCGCTCACTCACTCGCTCACTGACTCGCTCACTCACTCGCTCACTGACTCATGCACTCACTCACTCCCTCGCTTGCTCACTAACTTGCTCGTTCACTCACTCACTGACTCATGCGCTCACTCACTCACTCGCTCATTGACTGACTCGCTCACTCGCTCACTGACTCGCTCACTCACTCGCTCACTGACCCATGCGCTCACTCGCTCGCTCACTGACTCATGCGCTCACACACTCGTTAGCTCACACACTCACTCACTTGCTCACTGACTCATCCGTTCACTTGCTCACTGACTCATGCGCTCACTCACTCACTCTCTCGTTAGATCACACACTCACTCACTCGCTCACTCACTCACTCGCTCGCTCACTAACTCATGCGCTCATTCACTCACTCTCTCGTTAGCTCACTCACTCACTCGCTCAGTCACTCACTCGCTCCTCACTCACTCACTCACTCGCTCACTCACGCGCTGAAGCTCCATCCTTACCCATGGGCGTCTCGGTCAACATCGCCTGGATTGTGACCGGGGTACGATGGCAGTACAGCAAGTGGGTCAATCCCCATTTGTCCGGGGATGGCAGTACAGCAAGTGGGTTCGTCATCATCGTTGCCTAATTATTCTTGCTTGTTGTTAATTTCTGCACTTCTGTGTGCATGCGTGTGTCTGTATGTCTATGTGTGTGGATCTGCGTGTATGTGAGTGTCTATGTGTGTGTGTCTGTGTGTGTCTATATGTGTGTGTCTACATGTGTGGGTCTGTGTGTGTCTACGTGTGTGCGTCTGTGTGTGTTTATGTGTGTGGGTCTGCGTGCATGTGTGTGTCTGTGTGTGTCTATGTGTGTGTGTCTACATGTGTGGGTCTGTGTGTGTCTACGTGTGTGCGTCTGTGTGTGTTTATGTGTGTGGGTCTGCGTGCATGTGTGGGTCTGTGTGTGTCTATGTGTGTGTGTCTACATGTGTGGGTCTGTGTGTGTCTACGTATGTGTGTTTATGTGTGTGGGTCTGCGTGCATGTGTGGGTCTGTGTGTGTCTATGTGTGTGTGTCTACATGTGTGGGTCTGTGTGTGTCTACGTGTGTGCGTCTGTGTGTGTTTATGTGTGTGGGTCTGCGTGCATGTGTGGGTCTGTGTGTGTCTATGTGTGTGTGTCTACATGTGTGGGTCTGTGCCTTTGTCTGTGTGCGTCTGTGTGTGTTTATGTGTGTGGGTCTGCGTGCATGTGTGGGTCTGTGTGTGTCTACATGTGTGGGTCTGTGTGTGTCTACGTGTGTGCGTCTGTGTGTGTTTATGTGTGTGGGTCTGCGTGCATGTGTGTGTCTGTGTGTGTCTATGTGTGTGTGTCTACATGTGTGTGTCTGTGTGTGTCTATGTGTGTGTGTCTACATGTGTGTGTCTGTGTGTGTCTATGTGTGTGTCTACATGTGTGTGTCTGTGCCTTTGTCTGTGTGCGCTGCAGGAGAGTTTGGCGCGATTGCAGAGGGCCTTCGCTCGCAAGTGGGAGTTCATATTCATGCAGGCCGAAGCACAGGCCAAGTGAGCACACACCGCTGCACCACCGCTCCTCACCCCCACCTCACCGCTGCACCACCGCTCCTCACCCCCAGCTCACCGCTGCACCACCGCTCCTCACCCCCAGCTCACCACTGCACCACCGCTCCCCCACTACCAGCTCACCGCTGCACCACCGCTCCTCACCCCCACCTCACCGCTGCACCACCGCTCCTCACCCCTCACCTCACCGCTGCATCACCGCTCTTCACCCCCACCTCACCGCTGCACCACCGCTCCTCACCCCCACCTCACCGCTGCACCACCGCTCCTCACCTCACCGCTGCACCACCGCTCCTCACCCCCAGCTGACCGCTGCACCACCTCTCCCCACCCCCACCTCACCGCTGCACCACCGCTCCTCACCCCCACCTCACCGCTGCACCACCGCTCCTCACCCCCACCTCACCGCTGCACCACCGCTCCTCACCCCCACCTCACCGCTGCGCCATCGCTCCCCACCCCACCTCACCGCTGCACCACCGCTCCTCACCCCCACCTCACCGCTGCACCACCGCTCCTCACCTCACCGCTGCACCACCGCTCCTCACCCCCACCTCACCGCTGCACCACCGCTCCTCACCTCACCGCTGCACCACCGCTCCTCACCACCAGCTCACCGCTGCACCACCGCTCCTCACCTCACCGCTGCACCACCGCTCCTCACCACCAGCTCACCGTGTGCGCGTCGCGCGGACGAAAGCGACGTGACCCCCCCCCCCACGTCGCCCGCGTTGACGGCGTCGGCCCTTCGCGACGCCCCCTGTGGGTGCAGACACCCGCCACGAGAGGGCGGCAGAGGAAGATTTTTGCAGGAAGCGGCGTGGCCCTGGCCGGGGCGGTGGGGGGGTCCGTGGTGCAGCAGCTGGGAGAGCGTGCGTGTGTGTTTGTGTGTGTGTCAGTGTGTGTGTGTCAGTGTGTGTGTGTGTCAGTGTGTGTGTGTCGGTGTGTGTCAGTGTGTGTGTGTGTGTGTCAGTGTGTGTGTGTGTCAGTGTGTGTGTGTCAGTGTGTATGTGTCAGTGTGTGTGTGTCGGTGTGTGTCAGTGTGTGTGTCAGTGTGTGCGTGTGTGTCAGTGTGTGTGTGTCGGCGTGTGTGTCAGTGTGTGTGTGTCAGTGTGTGTGTGTCAGTGTCAGTGTGTCAGTGTGTGTGTCTGTGTGTGTGTCAGTGCGTGTGTGTCGGTGTGTGCGTGCGTGTGTCGGTGTGTGTGTGTCGGTGTGTGTGTCTGTGTGTCTGTGTGTGTCTGTGTGTGTGTCGGTGTGTGTGTCGGTGTGTACGTGTGTGTGTCAGGAGCGGTAGTGTAGTGGTTAGCGCGCTGCACTACGAACCTGGCGACCCGGGTTCGATTCCCGCTCACGGCAAACACTAGTGACGATTATCTAAACCGGTCCTGGGCCTCCCCTAGGTCGACTCAGCCTCAAATGAGTACCTGGTGCGGTGTGTAAACATCCCCACTAGGGAAACAAAGGCGGCCGTGCATGGTGTTGGCCACCCACCCCCTCGTGTGCCGTGCCGGCCTTCATAGGTGCCGCTCGCAATCAGCACTTGCCCCAACAGTCTGTTGAGGCTACACGGGGGATCTTTGTCTTTGCTGCGCGTGTGAGCTCGCAGGGTGGACAAGAAGAGGGACAAGGTGGAGAGGAAGATCCTGGACAGTCAGGAGCGAGCCTTTTGGGACGTGCATCGCCCTGTGGTCAGTGAGGGTCTCTTGAGTCTGTGGCTCTCTATGTGAGCGCGTAACGTGTGTACACGTGTACACACGCGCGTGTGTGATGTGTGTAACGTGTGTGCGCGTGTGTGATGTGTGTGTGTGTGTGCGCATATGTGTTGTACGCACGCGTGTGTAACGCGTGTCCGTGTGCAACGCGTGTCCATGTGCAACGCGTGTCCGTGTGTAACGCGTGTCCGTGTGTAACGCGTGTCCGTGTGTCACGCGTGTCCGTGTGCAACGCATGTCCGTGTGCAACGCGTGTCCGTGTGTAACGCGTGTCCGTGTGCAACGCGTGTCCGTGTGCAACGCGTGTCCGTGTGTAACGCGTGTCCGTGTATCACGCGTGTCCATGTGCAACGCGTGTCCGTGTGCAACGCGTGTCCGTGTGCAACGCGTGTCCGTGTGTAACGCGTGTCCGTGTGCAACGCGTGTCCGTGTGTAACGCGTGTCCGTGTGCAACGCGTGTCCGTGTGCAACGCGTGTCCGTGTGCAACGCGTGTCCGTGTGCAACGCGTGTCCGTGTGCAATGCGTGTCCGTGTGTAACGCGTGTCCGTGTGCAACGCGTGTCCGTGTGCAACGCGTGTCCGTGTGTAACGCGTGTCCGTGTATCACGCGTGTCCATGTGCAACGCGTGTCCGTGTGCAACGCGTGTCCGTGTGCAACGCGTGTCCGTGTGTAACGCGTGTCCGTGTGCAACGCGTGTCCGTGTGCAACGCGTGTCCGTGTGCAACGCGTGTCCGTGTGCAACGCGTGTCCGTGTGCAATGCGTGTCCGTGTGTAACGCGTGTCCGTGTGCAACGCGTGTCCGTGTGTAACGCGTGTCCGTGTGTAACGCGTGTCCGTGTGTAACGCGTGTCCGTGTGTAACGCGTGTCCGTGTGCAACGCGTGTCCGTGTGCAACGCGTGTCCGTGTGCAACGCGTGTCCGTGTGCAACGCGTGTCCGTGTGCAACGCGTGTCCGTGTGTAACGCGTGTCCGTGTGCAACGCGTGTCCGTGTGCAACGCGTGTCCTTGTGCAACGCGTGTCCGTGTGCAACGCGTGTCCGTGTGCAACGCGTGTCCGTGTGCAACGCGTGTCCGTGTGTAACGCGTGTCCGTGTGCAACGCGTGTCCGTGTGCAACGCGTGTCCGTGTGCAACGCGTGTCCGTGTGCAACGCGTGTCCGTGTGTCACGCTCACCGCCCCCGCCCAGCCTGGCTGTGTGAACACCACCGAGGTCGACATCAAGAAGTCGTGCCGCATGCGCAACCCTCGCAAAACGCGGAAGGTGAGACCAGACGCACACACGCGCACACACACACAAAGACAAATATCCCCCGTGTAGCCTTAACAGACTGTAGGGGCAAGTGCTGTTAGCGAGCAGCACCTATGAAGGCCGGCACCGTGGCACACGAGGGGGTGGGTGGCCAGCACCACGCCCGACCGCCTTTGTCTCCCCAGTGGCGATGTTTACTACATACCATACCAGGTACTCGTTTGAGGCCGAGTCGACCTAGGCGAGGCCCACGACCGGTTCGGATAATCGCCATCGGTGTTGGCCGTTAGCGGGAATCGAACCCGGATCGCCGGGTTCATGGCGCAGCGTAGCGCTAACCGCTCCCCCACCGCTCCCCCACACGCGCACGCAAATAACTGTGCAACTCGGTACGAGTGTATCTGTGCCTGTCCCTCTGCTCCTGCCCCCTCTGCCCATGCGCGTGCCCAGTCTGTGTACAACCTGCAGAACGATGCGCGGACACACAGCCCCGTGCGGTCCCCGTCACCTGGAAGGAAACCTCCCACGGAGGATGAACTCAGGCAGCAGGTGAGTGAGTGAGTGAGTGCGTGAGTGTGTCAACATCGCCACTGGGGAGACAAAGGCGGTCGGGCGTGGTGCTGGCCCCACCCACCCCCTCCTGTACCGTTCCGGCCTTCATAGGTGCCCGCCAACAGCACTTGTCCCTACATTATGTTAAGGCTATACGGGGGATTTGCACGTGAGCGAGTGTGTGCTTGAGTGAGAGTGTGAGTGTGTGAGTGAGCGCGTGAGTGTGTGAGTGTGCATGTGAGGGAGTGTGTGCGCAAGTGAGCGCGTGAGTGTGCGTGTGAGTGTGTGAGTGAGCGCATGAGTGTGGGAGTGAGCGCCTGAGTGTGTGAGTGTGAGGGAGTGTGTGCGCAAGTGAGCGTGTGAGTGTGTGAGTGTGCGAGTGAGCGCGTGAGTGAGCGCGTGAGTGTGTGAGTGTGAGGGAGTGTGTGCGCAAGTGAGCGCGTGAGTGTGTGTGTGAGTGTGTGAGTGTGCGCAAGTAAAGCGCGTGAGTGTGTGTGTGAGTGTGTGAGTGAGCGCGTGAGTGTGTGAGTGAGCGCGTGAGTGTGTGAGTGAGCACCTGAGTGTGTGAGTATGAGTGTGCATGTGAGGGAGTGTCTGCGCAAGTGAGCGTGTGAGTGTGTGAGTGAGCGCCTGAGTGTGTGAGTATGAGTGTGCATGTGAGGGAGTGTCTGCGCAAGTGAGCGTGTGAGTGTGTGAGTGAGCGCCTGAGTGTGCATGTGAGGGAGTGTCTGCGCAAGTGAGCGTGTGAGTGTGTGAGTGAGCGCGTGAGTGTGTGAGTGTGCGCACGAGCGAGTGAGCGCATGGGAAGCGGTGGTGTCGTGGCTAGCGCACTGCGCCACAAATCTCGCTACCCGAGGCCGATTCCCACTCACAAGCAAGAACAGTGGCGAATAATTGAACCGGTCCTGGGCCTCATCTATTCTAAGTCAGTCTTAAATGAGTACATAGTGCAGTGTGTGTTAGACATCGCCACTGGGGAGACAAAGGCGGTCGGGCGTGGTGCTGGCCACCCACCCCCTCGTGTGCCGTGCCGGCCTTCATAGGTGCTGCTACTCGCTAACAGCACTTGCCCCTACAGTCTGTTGAGGGTTATACGGGGGGGAGTGGATACTTTCTCTTTTACGAAGACTCCCTTGCACCGGGACGGGGACTGTGCCGGCCATAGCGGTGGCGGGTGATGTAATTCCACGGCTCGTGTCTCGTGTCCCCGCAGATCAAGTACCTTTATATGCAACTGGACCGGCATTGTTTGAAGATGTCGAAGGTCACGGAAAGGTAAGTTCTCAGATGACGCTGCCTCCGCGTGTGTGCACGCGTGTCTACGCATGCGTCTGCGCGTGCGTGTGTTAGTCTGCGCGTGCGTGTGTTAGTCTGTGCGTGCGTGTGTTAATCTGTGCGTGTGTTAGTCTGTGCGCGTGTTAGTCTGTGCGTGCGTGTGTGTTAGTCTGTGCGTGTGTTAGTCTGTGCGTGTGTGTTAGTCTGTGCGTGTGTTAGTCTGTGTGTGTGTGTGTGTTAGTCTGTGTGTGTGTGTTAGTCTGCGCGTGTGTTAGTCTGTGCGTGCGTGTGTGTTAGTCTGTGCGTGTGTTAGTCTGTGCGTGTGTTAGTCTGTGTGTGTGTGTGTTAGTCTGTGTGTGTGTGTGTGTGTTAGTCTGTGTGTGTGTTAGTCTGTGCGTGCGTGTGTGTTAGTCTGTGTGTGTGTTAGTCTGTGCGTGTGTTAGTCTGTGTGTGTGTTAGTCTGTGTGTGTGTGTTAGTCTGTGCGTGCGTTTGTGTTAGTCTGTGCGTGTGTTAGTCTGTGCGTGCGCGTGTGTGTGGGGAGCGGTAGCGCAGCGGTTAGCGCGCTGCGCTCCGAACCCAGCGACCCGAGTTCGATTCCCGCTCACGGCCAACACCGGTGACGGTTACCTGAACCGGTCCTGGGCCTCCCCTAGGCCGACTCGGCTGCCCACGCCCTCGTGCGCCACGGTGCCGCAATTCACAGGCGCCGCTCGCAAACGGAGCTCGCCCCAACAGTCTGTTCAGGCTACGCGGGGGATCTTTGTCTCGGTGCGTGCACGTAGCCTCATCAGCTACACGGAGCACTACGCCGAGTACGATCCGCTCATCGTGGCGCCGGAGTCGTCCAACCCGTGGGTGACCGACGACACGGCGCTCTGGGACAACGACGGCAGGTGGTGCAGCGTCGCTCTCACTCTCTCGCTGCACACATCACCGATACAGCAGCCTGATGCCTCCGCTCGCTACCGATCCATGCGCTCACTCACTCACGATCCCTCCACTCACTCACTCAATCACCATCCCTCCATTCACTCACTCACTCACCATCCCTCCACTCACTCACGATCCCTACACTCACTCACTCACCATCCCCCCGCTCACTCACTCACTCACTCACGATCCCTCCACTCACTCACTCACCATCCCCCCGCTCACTCACTCAAGATCCCTCCACTCACTCACCATCCCCCCGCTCACTCATTCACTCACTCACGATCCGTCCACTTACTCACTCACGATCCATCCCTCCACTCACTAATTCACTCACTCACGATCCCTCCACTAACTCACTCACTCACGATCCATCCCTCCACTCACTAATTCACTCACTCACGATCCCTCCACTAACTCACTCACTCACGATCCATCCCTCCACTCACTCATTCACTCACTCACGATCCCTACACTCACTCACTCACCATCCCCCCGCTCACTCATTCACTCACTCACGATCCCTACACTCACTCACTCACGATCCATCCCTCCACTCACTCATTCACTCACTCACGATCCCTACACTCACTCACTCACGATCCATCCCTCCACTCACTCATTCACTCACTCACGATCCCTCCACTCACTCATTCACTCACTCACGATCCCTACACTCACTCATTCACTCACTCACGATCCCTTCATTCATTCACTCACTCACCATCCCTCCACTCACTCATTCACTCACTCACCATCCCTCCACTCACTCACTCACTCACCATCCCTTCACTCACTCACTCACCATCCCTCCACTCACTCATTCACTCACTCACCATCCCTCCACTCACTCACTCACCATCCCTCCACTCACTCACTCATTCACTCACTCACCATCCCTCCACTCACTCACTCACGATCCCTTCACTCATTCACTCACTCACCATCCCTCCACTCACTCATTCACTCACTCACCATCCCTCCACTCACTCACTCACTATCTCTCCACTTACTCACTCACTCACAATCTCTCCACTCACTCACTCATTCACCATCCCTCTGCTCACTCACTCACTCACGTTCCCTCCACTCACTCACTCATCATCCCCCACTCACTCACTCACAATCCCTCCACTCACTCACTCACTCACGATCCCTCCACTCACTCACTCACTCACGATCTCTCCACTCGCTCACTCACAATCTCTCCACTCACCATCCCACCACTCACTCAATCACTCACCATCCCCCCGCTCGCTCACTCACGGTGTCCGTGCCGCTGTTGTCCCGTGCCGCCCGTGCCGTCTGGCGGGCAGCAAGGAGCCGAGCCAGCAGCGCGTGCGCCGCTCGCTCACTCACAATCTCTCCACTCACCATCCCACCGCTCACTCGCTCACTCACGTTGTCCGTGCCGCTGTTGTCCCGTGCCGCCCGTGCCGTCTGGCGGGCACAGCAAGGAGCCGAGCCAGCAGCGCGTGCGCCGCTGGGGCTTCTCCATCGACGAGGTGCTCAAGGACCAGCTCGGCCGCGAGCAGTTCCTCACCTTCCTCAAGTCCGAGTTCAGCTCCGAGAACCTGCGGTGAGCGGCCCCCCTCCGCCCGGCGTAAACCAGGCGGCAAACGATCCGCGCGCCGGGCATGCGCCGGCGAGTCTTGCGCAATCCCCGGGATCGAACGTTTATAGCTCTCCCCACCATCACCGCCAACAGAGACAAAGATTTCGATTGAAAGCTTTCGTGACTGCAGGGATTCATCTTCTTGGTTCTTTCGGTAAAGTCACGTAGAAGGGAAGTAATAAAATAATAAAAATAAAACATAGTAAAATAATTCTCACGACGTTTCGGCCAACAACGTAAGCGGCCGTCCTCAGGTGACTTTACCGAAAGAACCAACAAGAAAGACAAAGATTTTACCTCCCCCGTATAGCCTTTGACAGGCTGTTAGGGCAAGTGCTGTTAGCGAGCAGCACCTATGAAGGCCGACACGGCACACGAGGGGGTGGGTGGCCAGCAACCACGCCCGACCGCCTTTGTCTCCCCAGTTGCGATGTTTACACACCGGGTACTCATTTGAGGCTGAGTCGACCTAGGGGGGAGGCCCACGACCGGTTCAGATAACCGTCACTGGTGTTGGCCGTGAGTGGGAATCGAACTCGTGTGCCGGGTGATGGCTGGCAAGGTCAAGTCGTTTCCGGCATGGTGCGTGAAACTAAACTATGAATTTTGTTTATTTTATGTTCCCAGGCAAGGCCTCACTGAGCTATGTAGCTCTTTTTCAGAAGCGACCTGGCCACAAATGATAGCTCAACGAAGTGGCTTATCATCTTCTAGATTTGAAGTTTTCGTGACTGCAAGAATCCATACTCCTTGGTTTTATTTGGTAAAGTCACGTAGGTAAAAATAAAATAGAATGAAAAATGGAATTTTGTTGTTTTTTTATTTTTTTTTTCTTTTACCTATGTGACTTTACCCAACAAAACTAAGACGTATGGCTTATCATCATCGTACTCGTTCTGATTCTGGACTCGTTCTGATTCTGGACTCGTTCGCCAACCGGAAGGCAACGCAGCACGGCGAGTGCTGTGAACTTGATCTTTCCGTGACCTTCGACATCTTTTAACAATGCCGGTCCAGTTGCCTATAAGACGCGAGCCGCGGAATTACAGCACCCGCCACCCCGACCCCTGCCCGTGACCCCTGCCCATGACCCCTGCCCGTGACCCCTGCCCGTGACCCCCGCGCGTGACCCCCGCGCGTGACCCCCGCGGCGCGACCCCCGCAAGCTACACCGGGGACCTTAGGCTTGGCGTGCGGCAGGTTCTGGCTGGCGGTGCAGGAGGTGAAGCGGAGGGCGGTGCGGGAGGTGGCCCCCCGCGTGCAGGAGATCTGGGGCGAGTTCCTGGCGCCCGGAGCCCCGAGCCCCATCAACCTGGACTCGCAGAGCTACGACCGCACCACGCAGAGCGTGCAGGACCCCGGCCGCTACACCTTCGAGGAGGCGCAGGTCAGCCACGGAGCCCCCCACCCCACCCCCCACCCCCCACAAGCCCCCCACCCCACCCCCCACAAGCCCCCCACCCCACCCCCCACCCCACCCCCCACAAGCCACCCACCCCACCCCCCACAAGCCCCTCACCCCACCCCCCACAAGCCCCCCACCCCCCACAAGCCCCCCACCCCCCACAAGCCCCCCACCCCACCCCCCACCCCACCCCCCACAAGCCACCCACGGCTTCTCTCCCACCCCCCCCCCCCCCCCCCCCCCGCTGGTAGGGTAGAGGTTTAGCCGTACCGCGCTACTGAACCCACCGGGCCCAAGTTCGATTCCCCCTCACGGCCACCGACACCCATGACGATTATATCTGAATCGGTCCTGGGGCCTCCCCCCCTAGATCGACTCAGTGTCAAAACCATTATCTGGAGCGGTGCGTAGTAAACGTCGCCACTGGGGAGACAAAGGCGGTCCGGGCGCCGTGGTGTTTCTCACCGCACGCCCCCTCGTGTGCCGTGTCGGCGTTCACAGGCGCTGCTGCTCACTAACAGCACTTGCCCCAACAGTTTCTTAAAGCCACACGGGGGATCTTTGTCTTTACCGAGTCAGGACCGAAACGGTGTCTTCGTTGTGCGTGACGTCAGTGCGGAGCTGACGAACAAAATGTGAACCCCCGCCGGCGTGTGTTTCACCCCCCCCCCCCCCTCCGCGTCTCTCCCTGCCCGTCCAGGAGCAGATCTACAAGCTGATGAAGTGCGACAGCTACGCGCGCTTCCTGCGCTCCAACGCCTACCAGGAGCTGCTGCAGCCCAAGAAGAAGGTGGGTCCCCGCCCGCGGCCCTGCGATCGCTCGCCACACGCTTGCCCACCCTGTGATAGCCCGCCCCGTGATAGCCCGTCCCGTGATAGCCCGCCCTGTGATAGCCCGCTATGTGATCACCCGCTTGCTCGCTCGGTGATTGCTCACCCCGCGATCGCTAAAACGATCCTCGCCAGCTGTGGAACTCAAGGTGGGACTCTTTTCCCAGTTGAACTCGCAGTAGTAGAAGTAGTGGCGGAGCTTTCGCGACCGATATCATCCGTAATTAAGGGGGGGCGTGGGTTCGTGTTAGATCGCCGCACAAATATAACTGTGTCATCAAACCTGCACCCACCCGGCACAATTATATTTACACGGCGATCACACCCAACAAAAGCGTCGATTCTGGAGGTGAAGTTCCGGTGACGTACGTGTACCCGTACGCGCAAGCCATCGGTCTTTCTTCCGCTTGAATGACGTGCGGAAGAGGGGTGTGTGGCACTGCATTGGCGTCGGCTACCAGAGTAGCGACGGTCGTGTCGTCACGGTTCTCTGCGGTGAGTAACGAAGGCACTGCTATGCCTCTCTAAATTAAATTAACACTGAGCCGCTTTGCACGTTCCGAGATTTGGCGGTGAACGGGACGACCGCCCTGCAACTTACAGACGTCTTGGAAAGGGTTAAGTTGGGGCCCTCACGGCAGAGCTCGCAAACGGGTTTTGATTCCGTACCCGTACCCGGCCGCACCAGGGTCGCAAATGGGTACCCGTACCCGTACCCGGCCGGGTACGGGTACCCGTTCCCTACCCGTACCCTACCCGAAATGAGTGACAAACGGTGACTCACCAGTGACTCACGGCCTACCCGTACCCATACCCGGCTGCACCAGGGTCGCAAACGGCTACCCGTACACCGTACCCGGCCGGGTACGGTTAGCCGGGTATCGGGTAGGGTACGGGTATCGGGTACCCGGTTGCGACCTCTGCCTCACGGTGGCTAGGAGATGTGTTCTTCCTCCCCTGGTATACAGGAGATCGTGGGATTGATCCCGACCCTGACGCCTCTGTGTACGTGGAGTTTGCGGTGTCTCTCTCTCTCTCCCCGTGGTCGCGTGGATTTTTCTCCGGGTCCTCTGCTTTTGTCCGTCCACATTTAGAATCGACATCGTGCGTTTGAGGTATTTGGCTGCTAGAAATTTCCACACGATGATGAACTACTTCGTTGAGCTATACTTTGTGGCAAGGTCGCTTCTGAAAAAGAGGTCTGCAATTCAGTCAGCCTTACCTGGTAAAATAAACAAGATAGTTTAGTTTTAGTTAAATGCGGTTGTTCTACTGTGTTAACAGGTGTGTCGAACAGGTGAGTGTTGAGTTATTGAACAGGTGTGTTGAGTAATTGGACAGGTGTGTGAGTTATTGAACAGGTGTGTGTGAGTTATTGGACAGGTGTGTGAGTTATTGAACAGGTGTGTGTGAGTTATTGAACAGGTGTGTGTTGAGTTATTGGACAGGTGTGTGAGTTATTGAACAGGTGTGTGAGTTATTGAACAGGTGTGTGATCTGAGTAATTGGACAGGTGTGAGTCTAATACCCCTGAGACCTCCCTCTAGTGGAGGCCTTTCCACCAGCTGTGTCGTGAGCAAAGCGATTGCAGGGCTGCACCTCTCTCCATTGCCTGGTTGATTCTGCTCGTCGTTTAAAAAAATTTCCCCGTAAACATTCTGAGAAAGTTTCCCCCATTGTGTTTTGTTCTAACCCGCAGGCTAAAATGCTGACCGCCAAGAGGCTCACGAGTCTAGTCCAGTCGTCCTAGGCCCAAGGCCTGCTCGGGTCACCGAGCGCCGCCGACTTTCCGTGGCATCTGCAGAACGGGCACTTCTTTGTTTTTGTTGTTTTTGTTGTTTCCGCCATTCAAGTAACAAAACTCAACCCGGGGACCGTCGATCGCTCGACGTCCGTTCCGCTGGACTCGCCGCCGATGTCTCCTCCTCCTCTTCCGATGTGAACATTGACCTCTCGGCCGCCTTTGACCCTCGCCGACCTTTGACCCTCGGGACAAAATGGGGAAGAGAGAGAGAGGGCGAGAAAAAAAAGCATTTCTCTGCCCTCCGGTCGTGCGGCGTTTCTCATGGTCGTCGTCATCATCGTCGTCGTCGTCTTCGCCATCCTCGTCGTCACGGCAGCCGTCGCCGCGCCCGTTCTCTACCGGGCCCCGCACCGACAGCGCCGCTCCGTGCCCCGGCGGGGATCAGCCGGAAGGGCTGCGGTGGTTTTTCACCGCCGGGCAAATCACGCCCCGCACGCCACTCACGAGTCGCGCCGGCCTCACCCCTCGTGCTTTCCTCGCCCCGCGGCTCAGCAACCTGCGGCTCCGGAGCCGCGTGCGGCTCTCTAAGGGACCGCCTCGTGACGTCGTTGATGAAGGACCGCCGTGTCGTATTCACCCGCAGTGCATTGTTTTATTTATTACACAAGTAACAAAAACGGCCCTCCTTGTTGTTTTGTTTTGCCGAGCCCCTGGTCTAGTGGCTGCCAGGTCAAATCCAGTCGGAGTTCGTTGTTCCACGTGATTATTGATATCATTATTATTGTTGTTGGTGTTATCGTTGTGAATTTGTACGCCGTCAACAAACTCGCGTGGACGGGAGCCGCTCGTCTCGCCAGCGTCCTGGCAGGGTTCACGCACACGGGGGGCTGGCGGGCGGAGAGCGGGACGGTGGGTGGATCCACTCTTGAGTAATTTGTTGCGCGCAACCGAGTCGATCGCGCGTGGACGTCTCTGCAACCGGTTGCGAGCCGTCGCCGTGGCCGGTCGCCCCCGCGGTGGAGAGACGCCGCCCGGCTTGTCGAGCAGGCGACCTGCCCGGAGAGGCATGCGGCGAAGTCCGCCAGAACCGCGCGCCGCTTCGTTGCGATCCCCGGACCGTTCCCCCGTGTCGCTTAGACGCTCCCCCGTGTCGCACGGCCGCTCGCCTCGGGCGAGGACAGAAGATGGGCGACGGCTACTCGCGGGCGACGGTCACGTGCGAGCTACGGTCACGTGCGAGCGCGATGATGATGATGATTTCGAGATTTGAGGAGCGATTTTTGCTTTCGTGGCCCGTCGCTCGGGGTATTGGTGCCCCCCCCCGCCCCCCACCCCCCGCCCCCCCTGGATATTAGCCGCGTGTGGGTGGGCTTCAGGAAATGGACCTGTGGGCGGGGGGGGTAGGCTTCAGAGAGGGAGGGGGGCCCTCACCTGGGCGGCGTTTTTCCCCCTCCCCTCGACCCCCCACCCCCGAGGCCTCCGATATGTAGGCGTAATCCCTGGTGCACAAACCTGGGGGGGGGGGTCCGGGGGGGGGGGCGGGTCGCACAAACCCAGAGCCAGAGCATGGAGCTGCTGGGGCGCTTGACAATCGTTTTCTCCCCCGGCCGTCGGCGAGCGCTTAAAAATAAACAGCCAAAACGGCGGAGACCGCACGCCGCACTGACACCGCCGGGGTCGCAGCGCCGCTCACAGACCACTGCCGGGCCGAGTAGACCGAGCGTGCAGCACGCACACGTGTGTGTGTGTATGCACGCGTGTGTGTGCACGCGTGTGTGTGCACGCGTCTTATCTAGCCTAGCCAAGCGGCGGATATCGGCAGGTGCTCGCGTTTTAAAAAGGTCGTCCGCTCCCGTCGGTCTGTGGTCTAGAAGGCGCCCCCCCCCCCCGCTATGAGATTGGTCTGCTGGTCTGTTGTCCATTTGCCGATTGTTAGTGGAGGTGTAGGGTCTGCCGGTCGAGCGTCCCGTGCCAAACCGACAATTTCAAACCAATCCCGCTGAGACGTCGGCCCAATCCGGCAGCAGCAGCGGCGCTGAAATTCTTGCTTCGATGGAAACAAATAATAATTGGGAAAAAAAAATCCGATCGGTCGCACGTCGTTTTATTTCAATCGCCGCATTCGTTCCCCGGCCGACAAACTCACGGCGTTGGAGAGACTCGCCGGGCCACGCCGCCAGTGCGGGCAGCAATGGAAAAACCCGTGCCGGATTCCGATGGCCGTGCACGTCAGAGGTTCCTGCTCAGGTTCGAGGTGGTGGTGGTGGTGACGGTGGGTGTGTCCTGTAGGCCTACGGGAGCACTGAGCACGCATCGTGTCGGCTTGCGCTGCAGAGCGCGCTCGCGATCTCCACTCGGCGAATTCCGTCGCTGTGTCCGGCGGCGTTCTTCTTCATCTTCTTAGTTTTTGTGCAAACTTTTGCGAAGGTTGAGCGTTGTCAAAGTCTCCCCCTTGTGTGCAAGGGGGATGTTCTGCGGGCATTCTCGCTGAACCGCCCCACAGAAATTAACGCACCTCGGCGGATATTTTATTCAGAGAGAGGCGTAGTAGCGCCGTTGTTTTTGAAGACGTTACTCACCGCAGAAAACCGTAGCGACACGACCGCCGCCGTTCTACGATTGCCGGCGCCAAAACTGTGCCACGTGCCCTCCCACATGGCCTTGTGGGAGAGCCTCAGTACCGATAAAGTTACTTTATTTAAGTTTTTCTTTTTTCTTTTCCGATTTCGTTTTGATGACGTACACAATGTACGTCATCGGAACGGGGAAGGGTTAAACTCACCCCCCCCCCCCTGCCCCACACACTTCTAGGAACAAAATTATTAATTCTTTCTCGGCCACGTGACACTTTGCCGTGCAGCTTGTAGCGTCAGGAGGTTTGGCCTCCGCCCCCGGGCGGAGCTGTCGAGGTGTGCGCAGATGGTGCAACTGCACCGGGCCCCACGGGCTGGAGGAGCCCATGGGTTAGAGGAGGCCCACGGACCGGAGGAGGCCGAGAGGCCAGAGTGGGCCCAGGCGCCAGGCTCCACAAGAAGGGAGACATTCAGAGAGAATTGCACCAGGGCACATTGCCAACCACGCTGCACCACGTTGATATTGCCGTGTCTGTCTCTCTCTCTGTCTGTCTATGAAGAGTCTCTGTCTGCTCACGACTGGCGTACACGCGTAAGGGCTGCTGTGACACGCACATAAGTGTGCGAGTGTGTGTGTGTATGTGCGATCGCTCGCGCGTGCGCTGATGAGGACGGTGATGGTGATTCGCAGAGCGTTCCACCACTTGATCAGGCGTTTGGACCTCTGGAGGTTTTACCGGCGGGGCCACGCCGGTGTTTTACTTGGGGCCATTTAAGTGCCACCCCCCCCCCCTCACCCACAAGTTTCCCGGGGCGTTAGGTTGAAGCGCCGCGCGTTGATGTCGCTCGCTCCGCGGTGAAACGTCGCCCCGGCGTTTCCATCGCGTTTGCTCGGCTTGGTTTGCACGCGACCAGGGATACCTTGCGCACACACACACAGTGCACACACGCACACGCACGCAAGCACACACGCACGCAAGCACACGCGCACGCCAGCGCGACTGGGTGCGCACGCACGCGGCCAGCGCGCCGCGCTACTATCCCAACCACCCAGAGTTCGATTCCCACTCACGGCCAACAGTGGTGACGATTATCCGAACCTGTCCTGGGCCTCCCTTAGGTCGACTCAGCCTAAAAGGACTGTCTGGTGCGTTGTGTAAACATCGGCACGGGGGAGACAAAGGCGGCCGGGCGTGATGCTGGCCACCCACCCCCCCCCCGTGTACCTTGCCGGCCTTCATAGGTGCTGCTTGCTAACAGCAATTGCGCCCAACAGTCTGTTAAGGCTACACGGGTGATCTTTGTCGTTGTGTGCCAAATGGTGGTGAAAATAAAAATGCGTCGTGGAAGTGAAAGGCAGTTTCGTCCCGTTGGACATCGTCAGTGGTTTCCTAAAAGCGTTTCTTAAAAAAAAATGACCGCATCGGTTTCGCTCGCACTACGTCTCATCAGCAATCCGCGGACCTGTTCAACCGTCCACCGTGGTTACCAGGCACCGACGATTGCGTTGATTCATCGCTAAATGTTAGTTCTCGCGATACGCGTGTCGAAGCGTTCACTGTAATCAATCATTTGCGATGTATGCAAATTGTATGCACCGAATATGCTCACGTTGTATAATTCGGCAAACCGAGTGAGCCCCGATGTCATTGAGACGCCAATGTCGCGCGACAAAAATGAGAGTCGATGCCACAATCGCATGGAAACCCTGATTCGTGACGTCACGGTTGCATGGCAACCCTGAATCTATACGTCACAAACGCATGGCGACCCTGAATCGTGACGTCACAATACAGGGTTTGCCACGCGATTTATCGTGAGTGGAGCGCATCGGTTCGTCCGGAATTTGTACCGTTCCTTAAAATTATGGGTTTGCACATTATTTATTGACAAAGAATGCGACAGGGCCTTGAAAAGAAAAACGCGTCCATTTTGCGTCTATGCACGAGGTGTTGATTTTCCTATTCCCGTCCAATTATCCATTCTTACCTCTCTTGGCCTCCCTGTGTCCCATGAAGTAAGGGCCATTTTGTTTCGTCTGGACTGCCGCGCACAGCGGTGTCATTGACGACGCGCCGACGAGGTTTTTAACTTCCTGCAAGGCGGAATGAACAACAAAAAACCGGACATTTAAAATGTCATCGACCGAAATCGACTCGTCCTTGTTGTTGTTGTTGCTGTGTGAGTTTACCTTGCGTCAATGCGTCCGTGCAGTCGCGTTGATTTTTAAATCTTTGCAGTCCTTGAACGCAACTCAGGTCTGACCTTGAGCTAAGCCCACGTGACCCGGCACGGCACCGTTTGTCCATCCACTGCTGGATGAAGGCCTTGCCAAGCCGGCACATTCGTCGACCTTCTTGCGACGTAACGAAGCGTCCGAGCTCGCACGAGTTGATTTCATCGCTCCGTCTCCAATGTGGACGCGACCTCGCAGCCGTTCCAATCCTCGGCTGCCATTTGTACCACGGTGGCTATGAGATGTTAACTACCTCGCCTGGTATACAGGAGGTCGTGAGTTCGATCCCGACCATGACGCCTGCTGTATATTTGGAGTATGCGTGTCTCTCTCTCATCATCACCACGGTGGCTATGAGATGTTAACTATCTCGCCTGGTATACAGGGGGTCATCGGTTCGATCCCGACCCTGACACCTGCTGTATATTTGGAGTCTGCGTGTCTCTCTCTCTCTCTGTCATCATCACCACGGTGGCTATGAGATGTTAACTATCTCGCCTGGTATACAGGGGGTCATCGGTTCGATCCCGACCCTGACGCCTGCTGTATATTTGGAGTCTGCGTGTCTCTCTCTGTCATCATCACCACGGTGGCTATGAGATGTTAACTATCTCGCCTGGTATACAGGAGGTCATCGGTTCGATCCCGACCCTGACACCTGCTGTATATTTGGAGTTTGCATGTTCTCCCTGTGGTCGTGTGGATTTTTCTCCGGGTTCTCTGGTTTTTCCCTCCACATTTAGAATCAACAACACGCGTTTAGAGTATTTGGCTGCAATACATTTCCACGTGATAAGCCACTTCGTTGAGCTATCATTTATGAGAGCCAGGTCGTTTCTGAAAAAGAGCTACAAAGCTCAGTGGGATTTCGCGACCAATGTCCACAATATAGGTTTTTGGGTTAGATCGCGTAAATATGAATCTGTAATCACCCCCCTTTACACGTGAAGAGCTCACGAGTGACATCATTACATCTACCCCTCTATTTAAGGCCAGAATCAGGAGGATTTATCCACAAAACTGGCTGTCGCCTGATGAATCTAGTTGTAATTACTCGCGAAACGTCGTACTCAGATTGTAAATGTTGTGGATTTGCTCTCCAACACACCGGTGTGGCTGTACTAGTGACGAATTGGCACGTTCTGTTTACGTGACAACCCTTACTGATTGCCTGTTTTGGGTGGTGGCGGGTTTAACGACACATTTATATTTACGTGATCTAACCCAAAAAAAACCTATATTATGGATAGCTCAGTGGGCTTTACCTGGTAAAATAAAAATACAAAGTTTCAGTTTAATGTTATTTTAATCATCTTACTGTCTATTGTATAATGATGAAGGGAAGTACGTGACTTTACCGAAAGAACCAAGAAGATGAATCCCTGCAGTCACGAAAGCTTTAAATCGAAATGTATCCTATTTCCATTGAAGGGCCCTATTATTGACAACGATATTGGAAATGCACAGAATGCCATTGGTCCCAACCTATAATTGTTTGAATAATTCCTGTCTCCAAGGCCCTTTGTCAATCCACTGCTGGATGAAGGCCCCCCCCCTCCCCGTGCCAGTGTCCTGTCAATCATGGGGGGGTGTCACCGACTCGCCACCGACCCTCGACGAGTGAGGAGCGGCAAGTCCAGCTCTTAAAGCAGTGAGCGCTTGAAGGCGTTTCATCAATGTATGGATCCAGCATGTCGGATAATCCGCATCCCCGCCGATAATCGATGTAATTGTGTACTCAGTCGTCGTTGCGGGTTGGGGAGGGGGGGTGTTAGCCATACTTCACCAAAACTGAACGGGTCGTGTTTATTTGTACAAATGCCCATCGCTCGCTCCCGACATTCAAACGAGCCCTCGGCTGTATCGTCCTCGTCAATGGTTCAATGAGCCTGTGTTGGAAATTCCACATTTCTATGGCAAGGGGGATTGGTCCCTCGTTAGACAATCATTGACGCACGCATGTTGATGGGAGGGTGCGGGGGTGAAAGATCACAAACTAAACACAAAAAGCAGTTCTAAAGAAATGAGTTTGTCAATGTCGATGATGATTTAACAGTTGCATGGCTCCCAGTGGCTCCCTAATATCGGAGGGGAGAGCGTTCCAGACGGCCGCAGAAGCGCGTCTGAAAGCACCGCGCGATGATGCGGTGACCACCGCGGTCTTTGCTCGATGGGTGGCCGCTGATGGTTTATTGACGACTCCTTCACAGGGACAGTCGTGACGACGTGAAGCAGCTACTACTCATTGTCAATATTCCGATTGGAACGATGCCCCCTCTGCCCTCTGCCCGCCCCCTCTAACACCACCAACCCCACCGATTCAATGTCTTTGTGCTGTTCGCCATTTGGCGCTGTTCTCTGGTCTAACACTGGTTGAGACTAGGCCCTAACGAAGGCCGCCGTCTCTGGTGTCGACCAATCAGTCTCAAAGACAGTGCCCATGTATTAGCAGAGGATGTGTTTGTTTGCATGTTCACCACCAGTACAGCTAGTCCCCGACTTACGGCGGTCCGACTTACGATATTTCGATCTTACGACAAAATTGTAAAATATTTTACATTTCGCGTGGAAGGCAAACGCAGCAGCGTACGAGGTACGATGCTGGACGTTGGCACGCTGCCGGTACTGTAAATCGCTCTGTTTTGCTAAATTATCACCATTCTTTAAGACTCCTGGGTAGGCGAGGCCATCTTCGACTTACGATATTTTCGACTTACGATGGGGTCGTTGTCACGCATCTCCGTCGTAAGTCGCGGACTACCTGTACTTTGTGGTTAATGCGGACGTGGTTCTTGCAAAAGGTTTCTGTTTGGTGTTTTAACATCTTGACACCTCCTCTTTTATTGCCAGAAAGGGTAAACCCCAATTATTATTATTTGATACCGGCAATTAAAGGTGCCCCCCCCCCGCATGTCACTGTCCTCATCACGATACAATACACTGGTCAACACACTTTTTCTGGCATAAGGTATTCCAACGGGTTTAAGGTAATTTTGGGGTGCTGATTCCAAACCTGGCATCAGTTTTTGTCTATCACGTCAGGTTTTTGAGATATCAAATATTGCATTTTCAATAAAAACTGCAGAAGAAAATTTTGAGATAAATGTGGATATCTACATAAAATGATATTATAAACACACTATCATAAAAATACAGCACCATATTTTAGCACTTAAGCAGTCACTGACTCGCAACAACTTGCAATCATAAGTGACAGAGTTCATTTCGGGTAAAATCAATGAAAATGGGGTATGCCGATAGCGTAGAAGTGAGATGTGATGGAGCAAATCTGAGATCAGATTTGGAATCGGCACCCTGAAATTAGTTTAAAACAGCTGCAAAAGTCCAGGCCAAAAAAACACGTTTTTTTTGTTGACCAGTGGTATTGGAGCGTCACATTTCAATGTTGGTCCGTGGTGGCGCCTCTTGTGGATGTTGGGGTCACGTGTAAATGCTGTCGTGGGCTCACTCTCTCCGAAGCACCACCGGTGTGTGTGCTCAACTCGTAACGAGTCGGCCACGTTTCGTTTCTCGCGCGATTCGCGACGTGATGTATCGATGCATCGTTCCACACCCCCCCCCCCCAACCTCCGAGTGAATGTTACAAACAAAAACATTATTTTCCAGCCTTCTATAAATGTATAAACTGCTGGATGAAGATCTCCTCCACGTAGTGACGATGCTGAGTGAATCTGGACTTGGCCCCCCAAGCTCCAATCCTCGCTGTCCACCTCGGTGGTTATGTCCTGCCTGTTTTCCAGTGTGCCCGTCCCCGCCACACACGCCTGATGATTGGTAAACAAGGTAACGCGCGCACAGGAGTCACGTGTGGAATGTGGAGTCTGGGGGAGCGCTGGATCTTGCTTGGCTCTCGCTGTTGGTGGAGCTGAGACTGCGGTGGTAATTCCACATTCCCATGCCAGTGCCCAGTCCGTCCTTAGCAAGCAGATTGTTGAGTCCTAAAGAACAATACCGGACAGTGTTTGGCAGTGTACTTCTCTGAAAAGTTGGTAAATGTGCTAAAACGTTATCTTTTGGAATGTATACAAATCGATATCTATTTAGCGAAATGAATTTTTTGAGAACCAATGCGATATTTTATTTTCGGATTCTAAATCGTTCAAGACGCAGAAACTCACGTGGATTTTTCCGCCCAAAGCACGCCGACTAAAGTTTATCACGCGGCAAATATCATCCATAAGAGGGTGTTGTTTGTTTGTTAGAACGCGTAAATATAAGTACAAATCTGGCTGCTGTCCGCCTGATGATGCCGGTTGTAATTCCTGGCGAAACGTCGTGCTCAGATTGTAAATGTTGTGGATTTTCTCTCCGACTCACAACCGGTTAGTGCTGTACTAGTATACTACACTATACACTACACTAGTGCTGTACTAGTATACTACACGATACACTACACTATACACTAGTGCTGTACTCGTGACGAATTGGCCACGTTCTGTTTACGTGACACAACCTCACTGATTGGCCGTGTCGGGTGGTGGCGGGTTTAACGACACATTTATATATTTACGCGATCTAACCCAACAGCAAAAAAACCTCGTGGACGTCGAGCACACGACCAGGGAACGCCGCTACCAGCGACGTGTTGAACAGCGTGGGGGGGGGGGCCTTGCCCC